AGTTTGTTTAAATTTATTATGCAATTAATTTGATTTATTGATTAATGTGACAGGCCTGGTAGTCTCAAGGTACTTTACAAAAAATGTATTTCACAGTGCTGACAATTGACTTACATTGCTATAAGCTGGCCCTTAAAAGGCCGATAGGTGGCGCTCTCTCTACTGGTAACAATCAATATATTTCATCTCCTATGACCAAAAAAAGTTTTTCTCCAAATAGGAATATTTTCTAAATTGAACCTCACGGTTCCAAATCTGGTGCATCAAAACTGCTGACATTTGGATGAACAAATGATGGGTCTCATTTATTTTAGCGAAACTGAGGCCAAATGATTACAGGGAAGAAAACCATGGTGTGATCACAGAGCTTCATTCATTCAATGAGTAGTCAGAAGGTAAAAAACATACCGGTTGTCTCACCAGTTACCTTGATGCTGTGTCTTTGGGCAGCATCCATGACAGCAGGAACCAGATCCTCAGTGGGCTCCCCATGGTCATCTGCCACCCCAGGTGGGTACCATGACAACACCAGCACTCCTACAAACCCACAGCGTGAAGACAAGAAGAGGACTTTCAGAACCGCATCAGAGAGGAATAAATATGAGCAACATCAGTGCAAACCTCAGTAATAAAATCGGCTGGAAAGATTTCTCTCTCTGTCATATGAGCATCACAAGGCCTTCATCGCTGCCAGCCACCCAGTTTATATAGCACCTCATATTCCTCCTGGGGGCGCTGTAACACTGTTGGACGGAGTGGTCTCCGGCCCGCTTGGCGTTCACATATGCATTTGAACTGCATCCGAGTTCACTTCAACCGAACGTTTGCAGACGGACCAAACTCTTAATTTGCATCAGAGTTTATTATGCATTTACACCTTCCCTAACAAGCCAGAGTTGTCTTTAAGCCAACTAAACCAGGCTAGTAGAATACTGTCTACTCTACCAGGCCACTTTCCGCAAACGTTGATGACTGATTTTGTAATCCTGCCATCAGCAGTCTCCATATTCAAGTGACAAGAGGGGGCTTAGCTGTCAGCTAATCAACCCTGCTCCACTTGTAGATGTGGTTTCCAGCAGCTTGAAGGTTATGAAAGTCCATTGCTGTGACAGCAAGAGGATCCACCAATGGATATCAGAGGAGAGAGAACCCCCCCAGGGTTTGCTTGGCCCTGGATTCCTGAACCAGCTGAGAGGCTCTGGGGCCCATTAGTAAAACCTCAAGAGTGGTAATGTCCTGACATCCCCCAGAATTAGCCAGAGAGTATTCCTATGGTTTTCATAGTGACCCGACCTCAAAAAAACATAATAATAATTTTAAAAATTATGAATATAAGTAAGATATAATTTATATCTGACATCTGGCTACTTGGAAAATTTTGCTATTTAAATCCAGTAATTGAATAATGGTTTTGGGTTCAATGGACCAGCTCAGTCTGGACAAATGGGAGGTTTAGTTGAAAAATTTTCCAGTTCTGAATAGATAAATACATTTCATCTTAAAAATATTTTTAAGATGAAATTGCTGGGGAAAAAAAATCCAACCTCCATCCATCTGAGAAATATTTGCAATAAATCCAAAGGAAATTTTAATATTTGTATTGGTAGAATATAGCAAAGAACTGGGAGCTCTGGAAATTATAATCCATGAAACAAATGGATTGTCCCTGTTTGCTCCTTCAGTGGGTGGTAGAACCTGGATCAGAACAGATCCACTCGTTTTTCTGGAGACAAAAACCCATCAGACTTTTGACATAACATCCTAAAAGTCCATGGAAATGACATTTTTTTGCTCATATTCAGCTGCTGATGATTTTAGCAGAACTGTGGGTTCAGCCAGAAACCGAACCAAACCGAACCTCTCAAGAACCCATGCAGAGCTTACCTGATGCAGCCGCTTCGATCTGCGCCATGTGGGACTCCAGCACCTTTGGGTCTCTGGAACTGTAGGGCCCCAGCTCCGGGTAGAAACTGGAAGCGATGTCCTCTGGAGGTGTGTGTCTGCCCTGAGCGTGGCTGGCGGCGATCTTCGGGTCCCAGTGGGGCACCAGCGGGTGATCCCAGTGGATGTACTGGTTGTCCATGCTGGGGGAGCCGTACCACAGGTAGTAGAAGATGTGGACGTCATAGAAGATGCTGGAGTCTCGGTCGGATTTGGTGAACACCACCTTGGTGTCACTGCCGCCGGAGCGGAACTGGCCCGGCGACGCCAGCGCGTCTCTCCCATCCGGTCGCTTCCTGTCGGACTTCTCCCCGGCGAAGTCCATCCCGGGCGCCAGGTCCGAGAAGCCGTCGCTGGGCTTCAGCGTCCTGAGCCCCATCATGGTGCCGAAGATGAAGAGTGTGAAGAGGAAGAGGGCGACGATGGCCTTCCTGCGCATCCGCGTCATGGCCGCTGTCCGTGGTGCTGCCGCAGGAGAACACAGCGCGGTCCGCCGCGTCGCCTCGCCTCGCCTCGCCGCGCGCCGCCCTCACCGTCCCCCCCGCATCAGCAGCGCGAGCCTCAGCAGATCGCCTCGCGCGTCTGTCCCGTATACAGCCAGCAGCCGGGCCCCCGGTGGCCCGTCCCCCATCGAGCTGCTGCGGTCCGTCTTTCTGTCAGGGAGGCTGCATTTGTTTATATGACGGAAGCGGCAGGGGGGGATTAAGGCCGACCGGAAACAGTCAGTCTGTGAGGGTCGCTAATGGAGGAAGAGGAGGAGCTTCATGGCGTCTGTCTCTGAGGCGCAGCTGGTTGTCCCACTTTATACGTTCATCTAAATTCCAAAGATGAATCTGGGTTGGTCCCATTTCTTTTATTTTATTTCCTTTATTTAACAAGATAAACCCTGTTGAGATCTAGATCTCATTTTCAAGAGAAACCTGGGCAGAAGTCTGAAACACACAGTAAGCTGGTTACAAAATAATTAAATTTTTTCTGTTTGAAAAAGCTCCACACACACACCAACCAGAGACTGGAAGAATGACTCCATTGCCTCTCACTTTATTCTCATGATTTTGTTTTTTTTTATGTTGTTTTTTTCCCCCCACTGCAATACATGTATTCTTTTTCATTACAATCCGCCTTTTGTTTTCCATTGTCAAATGTAACAACCATCATGTCCTGTATTTCTGCTTGCAGTTTTGCTAGTAAGCACTTGCTATAATCTTGCAAAGGAAGAATTATTCCAAATTCACTGAAAATAAAAATTGAAAGTATTTTTTGTCCAAATCCAGCAACTGAAAAGAAGAGAGCATCAAAAGGTATGTCATAATGTAAAAAAATCACAATCTCACCTCAATGTCAGAATGTCAAACTCCTAAAATAACAAAGCATCTAGGGTCTGGTAAGTATTTTGGAAATTCACGCACAAGCATTTTATAACAGCCCCAAAAGGTGAGATTTACCATCTCAACAACTGTTAAACAGAGAAATCTTTTTTCTACCATTGTTTTGTTGCCCCTCACTAAAGTGCCCTTTAATTACAAGCTCCAAGTCTTTAAACCAGGATGGCATCTTTGCCATCACCCTAATCTTGAATTACTTTAGAAACTTCAGACCTTCTTGTTCTCTAACTCATCCATTTGAATGAGAAACTCAGATGATGAACACTGGTTTTGAACACACAAGTCATGTAATCTGGAGATTTCTCGTGCTTTAAAGCCGAGCACTGTCTTACACCTTGAAACGATAAACTATCAATATAACTGAACATGCTAGAGCTAAAGAAATGTGGACAAAATGAGGTTTGATTTCACTGAAAGAACAAACTGACCACATTTTTCTTTCACGTAACTGAAGAGCTGCGAGAACGTGTGACTTTCTCTCACCAGGATGAGGGACTGAAGCCAAACGTTCACCATTTTGTGAAAATAAAACAGAATTTTCACCCTAATAAAAATATTACTGCAAGAGTGGCACTGATCAGCTCAAATACAACCTCTTTACATCTAAATGTGTTTGAGGGATTCGTTTTCTTCACTGGAGGGAAAAAGACAAATGATTCAAGAAAGGACTGAACCTTCACTGTTTATTTAACTACAAACAGTGAGAAAAAGTTCAGTGTCTTCTTATTTCATGGGTATGTTGTCTTCTAGTTTCAAACTGTATTAATTCTTTTCTTTTCTTTTGGGATCAATAAAGTATTTTGGAATCTAATTCCTATTGAGGCGTATCAGCTGAATGCATCACACACCAACAGATCTGGTCCATTCCTGACAGGGAATCTGCTGGATTGGAAAATGATGGAATTTTCCAACATTTTCCGTTTTAGTTTTCAACAGTTGATATTCCAGTTAAATACCAACTAGGACCACACAAAGAGACAGATGTATCACTAAACAAGACATCAGCTGCAGTTCAGAGGTTATGTGGGGATTCTGTTTAACTGCGGAGCTGTGCAGAGTCTACTGCTCTTTATACTCATCTGATTTTAAAAAACAGAAATCACAACTGGAAGGTTCCTGTAGTTACAATAAAACAAGGAATGATTTAATAATTTAACTACATATTAAGCTGGGTCCACCTGTTTTGAAATCTTATAGCAAAAAAACAAACAAAAAAAAGGAGTAACTTGTTGTGTGGTACAGCTCCTCACTTTAATTTAGCGAAACAAAGCTATGTGAGCAATAATGGAATTTTGGAAGGTATTGATTGGCCGATACTTGGACGTGAAGCTGATCTTATCTACTCATTTTATTCATCTCCGCACAGATCTAAAAATCAGCCACTGTCCTATTTCACGTCATGTCTGCATATTTACAGTTTAACAATAATTACCCCAATGCTGCCAACTCACTGACTTTCTTGATATATTCAGCAACATTTGACAAAATAAAAATAGTTTGTATCAGCCAGTCAGAATGGACCGGTCAGACTTTTTTCAGATCAGTAATCGGCCAGAAAACCAAGTGTTGCACCCGTTCTTTAGTTCATGAATTCAGACGGCAGTACTGAGCAGTGGCTATGTCTGTGTTCATGGCTGCACACAGACAACTCACCAAGGGTCACACACATTCGTAAAGGGTCCACAGTAACAGGTTTATTTGATTCAAACTTAAACTGTGAATCTGAACACCATTTGGTGACTACAATGTCCAGCAGGGAGGTTCAGCATTATGGTGATCCTGGGTGAGCGCTCTCTAGAATAGGAACATTGAATGATGGTTTAAAAATAAATACAAAAAAAAACTCCCATTTTATTTCCAGAATGCCCCAATCACACATAGAGGACAGGAGACATCATCCATGATGTACATTTGTTTTGTTTTTTTCACAAGACCACAAACCGGCCAATGAAACACACTTTTCACCATCCTCACATCTCAACTGAAGCCATTGTAACAATTTACAATCAGGCTCTAAAAACAGAGCACAGCACCTCATATGTACAGCCTCATCAGTCCCATTGATCCTTTACAGTATTTACACATGTGCAAAACTAAATACAGTAAGTCAGAAGGAAAGGGGCATCTGATAACCCAGACCTGACAGGAAGCCACGTCTTCTTCCATGACGTCTTCTCCAGAAGGGCAGCAGCAGAAACATCTCTACCCATCATCCTCTGCTCTGTGTGGAGCTGAGGATGATGGGTGGCCTACTTTACTTCAATCTTTGCTGCTTGTACTGAAAGCCGCAGTAAACTTTGCAATGTCCGAAGCACCAGATGTCCTGCATGGAGACGTGTAGCTGAATGAGGGGAGAAGGAATAAAAGGCCAACTTGGAGATGAATGGAAGGAAATTTAATTTTCTACCACAGCAAAGAAAACGCTAACACTGGCTGACCTTTCTGGCTTCCTGTAAAAATATGTTGAAGTATTACATTTGATAGGACAAAAAAAAAAAGGGTATCCAACATGATCTCCTGCCAAGTTCTGCAACAGGTTTTGGATTAGCTGCTAAGGAGCATGAGCAAATGGGTTACTGGAAAATTCAGAGCCAAAGAGGATGCTGTGTGGTGAGTGGGAGATGAGAGTCAAACAGCTGTTTTGTGGAAGGAGAGTTCCTCTGGCTCATGGAGGAGCCCCAACCCCTCACGGTTCGGGCTGCTGCAGCAATACAAACGCTGTCATCAGCCGATCCTGCATCACAGTCCTTTACATCACGCAGCAGGGACAAATACAGACAGCTAAATAAAAGTGCTTTCGCTGCGTCCCGGCGTGTTGAACACATTCAGTCTGGAACGGGCTCAGACGGGACTATTCATGGAGCTGCCGCTACAGTACAGGCAGCTTCTACTTCACATTATTAAGCAGCTTCTGAAGAAACACTGGAGTTGGAGTCACTTTTTTTCAACCTTCATGGATCATTCAGATCTACTGCAGCTACTTACAGGCTCCAACGTTGTGCTCAGCAAAGCAACCTGGACTCTTCAACCTGAGGCTAAAAGAACCAGCAGCTTAAACCTCTTCATCAGGAGAGGAAACTCTCTTCTAGAAATGCATCAAGAAACTGGCTGGTGACTGTTTCTCACAATTGTTTTTTTCCTGATCTTTGAACTCACCATCAGAAACCCAGACAGTGAAAATTATGTTAGTTATTACCACAAGATGACTCAAAGTCAGCCATCTTCTGGATAGTAGGAAGACTGAAAGCAGCCGTTTTATCCTCTGGAGCCTTTAGCTTTGTTCTGGTGTGGCAGAAGATGCATTTGGGAATGTTGGGCTTTGGGCTGTAACGATTCAAGTACCCGGATTATTAAAATTCCTTGAGAAAAATTTATCTGATTCGAAGTTTCCTGAAAATTAGGTTTCATTATTTAGCGCACCGTGTTGGGCAGTGTGTTCACTTCCGCCAAGGAGTTGTTGCTGTGTGTTAGCAGCAGAACATCAAAGTCTCTGGGTTTTTGGGGCGACAAATAAGCATTTTTAAATTGACTGCAAAAATGCTTGGAATACGACAAAGAGAAAAGAGTGAGAGATCCGATTACTCGGAAACAAATTAATCGATAGACTACTCGATTACCAAAGTATTCTTTTACAACAGCTCTAGTTGGGCTTTTGGAAAGTCAGACTACTTAGTCTGCAAGGACTGCTTACACTTGCTAATGCCAATTGCCATTTAAATCCAAATCATTTGGTCTCTGTTTCTAATAATTGACTAATGACAGCAGGAAGGTTTTGAAATTATAATAATTCTTAAAGAGACATGAAATATTAAATAAGTCAAATCTTTGGTGGTGCAACACTAGCCCTTTTAATTCAAATAACGACAGGAAGAGGCAGATTTGTCCTCATAACCAAGTAGCTTATGAGCAAAGAGACATAACTTTATCATGATTGGATGGCCAACGTATTAGTAGGTAGGTTGGCCACCTCAACATGTTGGATAACCAACATGTCAAGGTTCTTTCCATTCATCCCTGATGTAGTGACTTGATGTTGAGAACCTTAAGTGTTCTTTACATCAAAAGTTTCAAATTTCAGCACACAGGAATGCTATATTCCATGTAACTAATTATGTATTTTGCAGCTAACTTAGGGTGTACAGCAGAAGTAGCTGCTGAATATGAAAAATTTTAACACTTATCCAAAATTAGAAAGTATCGAAATTGGGTTGAACTACAAAAACATTCTAAACTCTTATGAGGTTGTCAGACAATCTTTTCATACTAAACCTTCCTGAGAATCAGAAGGTTTAGTATTACCTAAACCTTCACCTTCACTTGATGATCCATCTGTATTTCTAAAGCCCTCCGCACCAAAGCAATCCCAAATGCCTGGCAAAGCAGATCTATAGAGACTCAATGACCGGTTGGCTTGTTCTTAACCATCAGGATGAAAAGATTTGAGGTACCCTGTGATCAACATTCTCCTTTCTACAGGGTGGTATGGCATGGTTCAATATTTTATAGTCTTTAGGATTTTCGACCAGTAATGGGAGTCAGTGAGCAGACAGAGTTAAACCCAAACATAGCGTGATACTACTGTGACAACAAACGTCACACAAGTGTGTCTAGTGCTCATCACTTCTGTCCTCCAATCAAAGGTTGTGTGAACGAGTAGCTCCATTCTGACATTGCTATTGTCCCATAGACCTGCAACCGTATGCATCAGCAATGGAAATGGACAAAATAGCATACCAAACTACATCAACCTGTACCATACCACTCCATGGAAACAAGACATAAGAAACCAGCGAAAGGTATGTATATGAAAAGCCAAACCGTTTTACTCGTGTGTTCTGAAAAACCATGAAAAAACACAAGCTTTGGTAAGCACAACATTTAGGTTACATGAGCACAATAAACCTGAATGATCTGGTTTAATCTGACAGGTTGAGTGATGCATTTAAGGCTGGGTGGAAAGAAAACTGACTGTTCTGGAGCTTCATACATTCTGGTGAACTGGTTATGGGTGCATCTGGAGCCAGTCAACTTATCTTCAAGTTTGCAGTTCAGAAGCAAAGAAAGAAGCATACCAAAGATGAGCTCTTTGTGGCTGGATATCGGGTGAAAAAAATGATCTCCACCCACTCAGGCAAACCAAGTCATGTTCAAGTTCCAACATTTGGTTTTCTCCCTGCTTCTAAGAACACGGAAAAACACTGATATCAACACCGGATATCTGTCCACAAATACCACCATGATGAATGTTATTACCTGAGCTTTCGAAGCAGAACTGAATCTGACCCCAAAACTGACTCAAATCTTGATGATTTGAATGAAACAAGTTTAGGCAGAACCTACAGAGTAAAAATCACAGGACACCGTCTCATATTGCATCTTGTAGTAATCAGCACCGGGGTCATGGTGGTATTCGAAGACAAGTTGTGAAGTCGTAGCCATTCTCTTCTGACTTTCTGGGCGATTGTGTTCTTGTGGTGTGTGAGAGGAAGCAGTGGCTGAAGTGTTCTGGATGGCCTGAGACGACGCTGCGTTCTGGAGCAGCAGCAGCAGCTGTGGGTGTCGCACCTCTCTCTTTCAATATAAAGACACAGCTAGTAGAAGACTGGATGCACTTGGACACAGACTGAATGTCTGACCAAGCTGCAACCCATGTGTATTCTCATCACCCCCTCGTTACAGTCATTTATTTTCATGGAAAGAAGGATGGGTTAAGAGCGAATGAAGAGATGTGTACATGTGCACGATGGGAGGAGTTCATAATGCCACACACACATACACGCACGCACACATACATACACACACACACACTCGTTTATCACGTGTCCCAGTCTAGCTCTCTGCAGGCAATCCGGACCAGTCTGAGCTCCAGTTCAAAGGCGTCAGGCCGTTCCTGGGGGTTGGCTGACAGCATCTCCCGGATTAACTGCTTCATGTGGCTGTTCATGCTTTTCTTTCTGGCCGGGATCAGCAGCTCCATCTTTGGGTTCTCCAACAGGGCCTCTCCCAGCGGTACGATCTCCGAGCCCTGCTGCACGTAGCTTCCCAACAGCTCCTTCTGGGTCTCCACGTCCACAAACGTGATGCGCTCTACCATGGCCCAGAAGATCACTCCTAGAGCAAAGATGTCAGCCTTGGCTGTGTAGTGGCCTTCCCAGACCTCCGGGGCCATGTAGAAGTCCGTCCCGCACGCCGTGGACAGGAAGCATTTGTTGACGCTGGCTGGCTCCTCAGGGTTGAGCCCTGAGGCGGAGCAGACTTTGCTGAGACCGAAGTCTGCCACTTTGAGGGTGGGCTCAGAGGAGCCAGTGGGTGTGCACGCCTGCGAGATGAGGATGTTGTCTGGTTTGAGGTCGCGGTGTATGATCTGGTTGCGGTGCAGGAAGGCCAAAGCACTGCCCAGCTGCAGCATAAAGCTGGTGTTGGTCTTGCGGCTGGGCTTACGGGACAGCAGGTAGGCGTTCATGTCCCCTCCATCGCAGAAGTCCATGACGAACCACAGGTAGTAGGCACAGCATGGGTCAAAGGTGATCTCCCCCTTCAGAGATGTCTCCACCAGCTGCAGTACAAGATGACAAGAAAACATCTGGTTACATGGCAGCAAACTGAACAAAGGAGAAAGCACCCAAGTCAACAGAGGTGAATAGAGCAGGGATCGAACCGGCAACCCATCAAACTCCTACCATTGTTGTCCAAATTACAGGAGCATTACAACATGTTGGTCAACTCTGGAGGTTCTGTAAACTTCAATATTCCAGACCTGCTACTAATGCCCAGTTTAATGTATGTCTGGACTTTGATTAGCCCTACGTAATGTATACACATGCTTTGATCTAAACCATTCCAGTGTACCTCTAGTCCTGGTTCTCTTGGCTGCTTCTTTGATTAATGTTCTCCTTGTCCAGCCTGTCTGTTTAGCTGGATCTCCATGGTCTGTCCAGCAGATCTACATGGCTGTCATAAGTACAAATAATTTTCATCAACCTTGATGGCCCATTGGTCTTGCAAGACAGCAGCCAATACAATGAAATCTCTTAATCTTCCTTGGCTCATCTTTCCCCTCGCCTCTGACAGAGGTCTGGGAGGTTTGTTGTTGAACCTAACCCTGGTTTACACTTCTCCACAGGTTTCTCCCTGGCATGTTGCCGGCTTCCTTAAGTCTTCATGATGCTGCTTATTCTCCAAAGAACGTCTGAGGTCAGAAACAGAACTGCTGCATTTGTACCGAGATTCTGTGACACACTTGTGGGCAGCCGATTTACACTGGAGTTCTTTAGGGATATTAGAATAAAAGGGGAAATAATCTAAATGCACAAGCATCAAATCTGGAAAACTGTCATTCTCCTTCCATTTCAGTTATGCATTGCTTTGTGTTGCTCCATTACATAAAATCCAGATAAAATGCACTAAAGTTTATAGCTGTAACATTATGAAATAAAAAAAAACTTCCAAGGGAATGAATATAGTGTAATTTATTGTTGTCAAGTAATCTGCTTAATGTATGGAAGAGGATGCTCCTGGTGGAAAACAAATGGCTGCCAGTTCTTGCCATAATTCATGAGTGTCCAAAGAGAATAGATGGCTGTTATTCCATGGTTGTAGCAGGCGCAGAACTCCACCCCTTTATCATTTGTTCTTCTGAACGCACGTCTTGGAACATTACAGAGTGGTAAACAAGAGGGAATAAAGGAATTCTGGGAAAACATCCAATGCTGGCGCTGCAGAAAACTAAATGACTGCTCTGACAATAGACCACTGAGCTGCTGAAAGGCTGGAATCAGGCGATTGAGGCTGCTGTCACGCAGCAGGGAGCCACGGCAACATGACAAGCTGCAGACAAGTCGACCAGACAGAGAAGCACCCCAAGTCCTCAACAGCCCATTGATCTGAGGCAACAAACTACAAAGATACATATACATATACACATACACTAAAGCGGTGCAGCAAACCAGTCATCTGAAAAACACACACTAGCAGTCGCGCCTTGCAGACTGGTCCATGAGATGCTGCAATCCACAGCACAAACTAGTTTAAAACCAGCTCAACTCACTTAGTGAATTCTATATTACACTACAGTAAGTATAACGTTTGAAATAAGATTTACAAACAAAAATTCAAGGGTACATTCACACCAACCCTGTTTAGTTTGCTTTAAGCAAACTCCAGTTTGTTTTCCCTAGAACGTCCGGTTTGTTCGGGGTTGTGTGAATGTGTAAACTAACTCTGACATGGACACAAAAAGCAAATATGAACACAACATTCTGGAGGAATACAACCAATATAAAAACGCAAGAAATAGCTCATTGTTTTTTACCAAAAACGCATTAGAGATTCTACAATGGCTAAAATTTGACATAAATTAAACATTTTGCAGAGAAGAAAGTTGGGATCAGTGTCTTCAAAAATTTTCACATTGTTTCATTCGGTGGCTCTTGATGCCACAGATGGATAACGGGCAAATTAAATGTATATGTTTCCAGACAGTAGGACAGCTGCATTAGTCCAGTTTGGTGAACTCTGCATTCTCACCTCAAGGTAGAGCGGTGAGCTAGAGCCGTGGTTCATCCTCTGGGCCAGATGGTCCCGCTGCAGGATACACTCCTCCAGGTGGATTACGTTTGGGTGCTGGCTCTGAATGCTGCTCAGCGCCCAGAATTCCCTCAGGGCCAGTTCCACATTCTCTGGAGAATGGCAGCGGATCTTCTTCACTGCCACCCGGGCCCCCGAGCGCTTTACTACTGCCTCATAGACCACACCGTAACTGCCGCGCCCCACCTCCTGGATTAGGTCGTACTTGGGCTGGCTGCTTACCATCCTTCCATCCTCGCTGTGGAGAAACAAGACAGGTCTTCATCTCATGACAAGAAAACTTGGAAAGACTCATATAGTGTGATACAAAATTGGAAAAACTGTCCAGCTGATTTACATGGTTTGACATGAAGGAAAGGCCTACCAGGGTATGTAAAATCAACAGGATAAAGAAGATGGTGAGGAAAACTCAAAAGATCTTCAAAACAGAACTCTTCACTTGAAAGGTAAAGTGAACTTTGGAAATTTGTTCCTTAATTTGGTCTCGATGTCACTAAATCTCTGGTAGCAATATGATTCACAGATCAGATGGCAAACTGAAGTTAGACACAAAATGAAAGGTCTGAAAGGAAACAGGACTTCCTATGAGGTGGGGGTGTTAGCTGCTCACAATAGGCTTAGTAATGAGGTGATATCTCACACTGAAGTGCTAGGAGCCAGCTCACAAATTTGAGATTTTACATGAATATATGAAAAACGTGTTTGCAAAGGAAAAAAAAAGATGCAAACAAAACCATGTTTGCTTACAGACAGCAGCTCAGTGCTTGGGTACTGAAAGCAACAGTTTGGTTGATATTGCTACCAAAGAACAAAGAAAAGCTTTAACATGAGACTGTGGCGGCTGTACAGGTGAAGCTCTGTACAGCTGCCCACATAGTACAATGTAAATGAGCAGTCAATAAATGAGAAGCAGAGCTGGTCTTCAGTTTCATAAGGAACAAACTATTACCAGACAAACTGGTCGGATGACTGATTATTTATGATGTTGACAAAGGACAAGACAAGTAATTGCACTTTGCATTGTAGAAGAGTTTATATTTATATTCTGACCTCTGCCTTTATCGCAAACAGCCTTACTGCTTTAAACACTGGCTGACAAATCTCCTGGCCACTGTGTAGTGTAAACTGAAAACAGTAACCAGCAATATGTTTCCTGTAAGGCAATGTGATGTATTTAAAAGGTAATATTGCTAATGAGCGCTGGTTGAACACTGGTCATCATGATGCTTGTGAGAGTACTTTCCATCACCCTGTTTTCTTTTTAGGTCTCTGGTCAGCAGCTAGATTTATTAGTACTTTTCCCCAAACAATTGATTATCAGTTGATTTATTAACAGATGGTGCAGCTGATTATAAATTACCTCTATTGTTGGATTGTGTGGGAGGTAACTGAAGCTTTGTTTTTATCAAGCTGCTGGATGGAAGCAGAGTCTAAATCTCAACTACACACATTATTCCAGTGATAAAGAACTCATCTTACACGTCATAGTATAACATAAAGCAGCCTGTTACACTGCTCTCCACCAAACCACAAGAACTAGGCGTACACTGATTGCAGTTTTTTTGGCGATTCTTCAATCATAGATCTTTAAAAATCCTGACCTGCCAATTCCAATTCTGGTTGACAGAATTATAGCAAAAAAGTCACTGAGTTGGCAACAGTAGAGTGATTATTGTTAACCGCAAACATGCAGACATGACCTGATAAGCCAGCCTGTCAGTCAAACCTCTATGGCAGGAAAGCAGAAGAGGACAGTGGTTGTCCTCTTCTGCCTCCTCTTAGCAAATTTGTAGACCTTTGCTAAGGAAATTATAAAGCTCATTTTAATTTAACATGCACTTGATTAAGTTCTTGTTGTGACAGGCTTAGCTTTCTGCAACATTGGCTAATTAACCAAAGCCTTAAGAAAACATCCCAAAACCAGAAATCATCAACAGCCAAGTTTTCCCTAATAGGCTAACAGGTTTTACAGAGTTTTGGAGTCTCTGCAGTTTGCTGCGGCCGTGTTTAACTACACACACACAAAGCCAACAATCACTAGTAGCAACTTCCAACACAGAGCTATTTCAGCTCTACAGCATGGCAGTTGGAATTAATGCCTACTTGACCCACTAATATATGCATCAAACATGGTTGTCCTCCCATCTTTTGATGCATTTATCCCGGAGCTTCCAGCTCTGGGGTCAATCATATACTGAATATCATGGAACAAACTTCAGACAGACATGAGGGTTACATGATTCTTTGTAGATAAAACTCCATGATAAAACTCCACAGTTTAATAAGACCCCTCTGAATTGGTTGTAAACTGTCCAGATCCATGAGCTAGCATTAGCTCCTACCATGTGACTTCAAGTGGCACTGCAGGTGAGAAGACTTTTAGTTATTGGAGCAGCTTGAACAAGCAAAGCCACGTTTATATTGGACTTCATTGTAACTGTGAAGAACATTACATTCTGTTATATAGAAAAAACATTTTTTTTTATTTGTGACTGAAACTTTGAAAATTTATAGGACTCATTTCCTAAGTGTCTTGCATTTATTATGCTTGGTAAGTTCCTGTTTAATCCCAGTGGTACCAGAACTAGACATTACATTATATGAGAATGTTCTACTATGGTTTAGGTGACCTTTTAAACAACTGTTTATTTCTGCTAACTTTTATCCTCTAATCACACCCAGCATGTAGCTAATCAGCATAGCCTGGTTCACATGGTAAAATTCTAAAATCGTCAGCCAATTTTCAAAATTTGAGAGACCACACACAGAAAACAATGCAAAATCTTAAGCATAATAGGCTTGGTTGCACCATGTGTGGTGTCCAGCTGCAAAGAAAGACCAACACACCACAGGAATATCTCTGAAGATTATCTCAAGAACCATCATAACTGGGTCATACTTAAGTTTGTCAGAAGGGGAAATTTGGGACAAGAATTTTGCTGGGTGAGATAGGCACAAGCAAGATGCTTAAAACATGGCAGCCACTCATGTCCAGTGGAGCCTTTTCCTAAATGTTATGATTGCTGGTATTTTAAAACCAGTATGTTTATTTTTGCTTTTATTGTTTTTTGTCAGTCATTTTTTTCCTCACCTCTGATTAATCCAGAAACTTAAAAGTCAAAAGCTAATGCTACCTAAACTACATCTAACTACCAAGAGGATTCCTACAAAGCTAAAAATAAGGTACAATTTTACCTTTCTATGTGTTTGAAGTGAAGCTGTGTGAAATTGTGATCCCATGAAGGAAATTGAAAATGTATCAATTTAGATATAAGTAGTGAAACGGTGAGGGGGCAATACAAGCATAAAATAAACAATTTTGTGGTAAATTGAAATCTGGATGACTTATGGTGACCAACACATGCAAAGAGAAAATGATACCCATGATTGTGTTAAATTTAAAAGAAATCCTTTGAAATAGAAGAAATGACAGGACTGTTGGATGGAATGAAGCAACACTGTGGACCCTCAGCACATCCAGCTAGTGGTGCTAAATACTAACCTTAATTCAAAAAACACAAAGCTAGTTACAAACTTCTCTCCACTTACAACTGCAAAGAATCTGCAACTATAGAGAGTCAATAATCAACAATAGTCATATTTCCATCTAATCATTATGGGAATTTTTAAACTGACTTTTGAAATGTTGCAAAAGAACAACCAAAAAAAAAAAAAATTATTGGACATGCCATTCCAGGCTGAAAGTCCTCCAATCTGTGCTGGAGGTTTGGAATTAAATGTTTCCATTCTCTCCTTAGCGCATTCCAGAAAAGAAAAAAAACAAACAAACAAACAAACAAAACAAACAAAAAAAAAACACGTCAAGCAAGGTGGGGTTTATTCACTGTGATATTGAGACTATTTCAAATTATGCCATTTCTATCAACCTTTTCCAATATCAACATTTCAAAATGCTCATAAAAAAACCATTGATGGAAACATGTCTACTGAGGTGTAACAGACTGACCCACTACTAGTGAGAGCTGAACAAAATGACAGGTTAAACTACAGCCTACTTTAGTCTGAAGAACTGCTTCTTGATGTTCTTTATCTGAGCTTGCAACAAATTATAATAAAGTTCAGTTGAAAACATTCTTTTTCCCACTAGGCACTAAATCAGAATGTGGCTAATTGACTTCACATGTGGCTAACTTAACCAGAATGAACCAAGGTGGCTCATTGTTATTTTTTTTTTGCTCTACAGAGTCTACCTTGGTGAATGGCTCAACAGTAAAGGCTCCACTTAAGATAATATGTATAACAAAGCGAAAAAGCAACAAGATCCTGAACACAGTGACACAATGTTTACACGTGCAGATTAAAAGTCCTGCAGGCAGACAGAGTGCCTGGTCAGTCACTGTGGACATCAATACCAATCCTCAGCATTACCATGATAGCACATGTGACCATTACATGATAGCACACACATCAAACAGTGCAGCAATCACCACACTGTTATTATCACACCGTTGGTCACTACAGGTTTATGTCACCTAACTGAGTCCATCATGGCAACATCTGTGTGCTCTGTATGAACAACCATCACAATGTCAAAGAGAACCTGTCAAAACCTCGTTTTCACAATGAAAAGAAGCTGAGGGGGCATATTAATAAATGATAAATGAAAAGAAACTCAATTTTAATTCGCTTGATTTATTGCTTTTCTTTCTCTTGTTACCAAAAACTGAATGATAAAAGTCATCAGTCTGGTGCTTCGGTGTCAATTATCCCGTTTTTTGAAAGATAATTTTGTTCACAGAGACTTCATGATTCAGTTTATTAGTTGTTTTTGTGGTTTTGTTTATTAATTTTGGTTGTTTCAAATGTTTTCCAGTTCCAGTGTTAAATATTTTTATCCATCTATCCCTTAGAATTTAAAGTTTATTGATCTTTGAGAATGTGTTCTTCTCATTATTATGCCATGTTCATTATATTTCTTGAAAATGGTTTCAAAACAACAACATTATCGTTTATCTCAATAAGTTCTAGGACAATTTACTGTTCAGCAAAGTTTGTTATTGTGAGAGGCCTGGACATATTACCGTATGTTCCGGACTATAAATCACAGTTTTTTTAATAGTTTGACCGGGGGTGCGTCTTATACTCTGGAGCGATTTATGTGTGAAATTATTAACACATTTTTCTATCATGTCACGTTATTTTCACAGTGAACTGGAAGAGGGTGCTCTAGGCCTGTGTTGATATTGTGTGCGGAAGAAGCGCCGCATCTTCTACCTCTGGAATTGTTTAAAAGCGACACGAGGATGAAGATTTTATTGCGTTTAGTGATTTGGAGTGACACGCATGGTTTGGTAAACTTGTTAGCATGTTCTTTCTGCTATAGTTATCTGAATAACTCTTAATATGTTATGTTAACATACCAGGCACGTTCTCAGTTCGTTATGCGTCATGTAACGATAGCATACCTTACAATCATTCAGCCTGTTGTTGCCTCTATTCTATTTTTATTTTAAATTACCTTTCAAAATTACATGTCTGTTCTTGGTGTTGGATTTTATCAAATAAATTTTCCCCAAAAATGCAACTTATACTCCACTGCGACTTATATATGTCTTTTCCTTCTTTATTATGCATTTTATGGCTGGTGCAACTTGTACTCTGGAGTAACTTATAGTCCGGAAAATACGGTATGCCATAGAAATGAAGGATAAACCATTTTAAAAAGGTTTTCTTTTATATAATGTGACAATCATGAATTTTTTTGTAATGATAACGATTTATCAAATTGTGTTATTTTACTCCACAATTTATCAAATTGTGTTATTTCACTCCACAATTACACAGTTTTTAGGCTACATGATTAGAATTGATAAAAATTGCATTCTGGAAAATAAACAGGGAAGAAAAGCGTTTTGTGTTGACTTAAAGATCACTGTTTAAAATGAGACATGTCTTAATGGGACTCATAAAGAACAAATAACCTAAAACTAACAGTTTGGTCTGTGCCAAATGTTTTAACTGTCCTAAAATACAGCTGATGTCCTCCAGGATCTTCTAAGGTGGAAATGTAGACATCCACCAGGTAATTGGTCCTTCATAAGAATATCTAAGCATTCTTATCATATGACTGATTTTACTCCAAGGTTAATTCATGAGAAGGTTTGTGTGTAGCCAAACTGTTTCATCTGTGTGTTTTTTTTTTTTGCTTTGATCATGGTGGGCTCTGACAAAGCCAACACACACATCTGTCTGCTATGTTACTGTTTATTATGCTATGTTAAGCTAAACTGGTTCACCGTTGAGGATGCAGAAGAAAATTATGTGGTTCAACAGTATGAAATTAGCTCAGAATCATTTTAATAAATCAAATCAGTTGAAGGATCGTTCCAGCCTGAGTTCACAACAAATAGATGGTTAAAGGAGCTGCTGTCTCAAGGTAGTGACATGCAGAGAATGTGCAGAAAAAGATCAACCCTCAAACAGGAAGGCTACACCCAATTATATTTACCTGATATTAGTGAATTAATAACAGATCTTCAACAGGAAATAAAATGAAACAAAAACACCAGCTCATTTCAGCATGTATTCCAACCAACACTGCAACTTACCGATCCATAAATCAGGTTTTTACTGACTGACAGATTTCCAGTTTTCTTTGAGGTCTGGCCAGCTGGTCACATTCAAAATCAATGGAATAATTTCCAAATTTTTCCAGAAAATATAAGAACTTTTGCTTTGATGCATGGGAATAAAAATAATCTTTCAGGTTTCAACTTCCCTCATCAAAGGTCACACACTCAAAATCACCCGTTTCAATCCAAGGCTACTGATTTCTACATCATTTACACTTTCTGTATTAGTTATACTTTTTTATACAAGATGGGGGAGATTGTTATTTATTATCAATGTTATTTTAATACAACATAGATGTTACATTCAAAACATCTATGTTATGAATTCATAAAGTTTAATTAATAAACTACTGGTTTTGCAATAATAATAAAAAATTACCAGATATAACCAACATTTCCACCACTCCTTAACACTGTTAAATCTGTAAGAGAGATTTAAAGTGCCAAAATTTAAAATAAAAATTTCAGTTTGAAACAAAACATCAAAGTTAGCAAAATGTGTTTCCCCCTCAACTGAAAAATACAGGACAAGGAGGGTGTATTCTCACCTTTAGATGATAGATATGAACAACATTTAACCAGAAGATGATGGAGTGCTACAGGCAGTTGTTCCCCTGACAGACAGCTAAGTGAACGGGTTAATGAGACACTTACCTCGGTGATTGGCTATCAGGCTAACAGCTATGTGGCCTGGCCCCTGGCTGCTAACGCGAGCTAATCATGTTAACAGCAGCTAACAAAGAGTCCAGTTTGCTCTAGTTCGTTTACTAATCTGGTTCTGCGTTGGCGTCGCCTCATTTAAACCCAAACATTGGGTTTAAATGGGTCTCCTTACACTGACCCAACAGTGGCGAACAGAAGAGCTATCCATGCTAAGCACAAGGTGTTGACAGTTTATTGTCCTGTGTACGTGCGCGTGCTATCAAGCAGCGACACACCTGCAAGCCGGGTTGCCAGGTACGCACAGCAGACAAGACAATGGTGGAGTACAGCGGGGACAGAAGAGGTTTGACCGCATGATATCAGGTTATGAGGCTCACCTTAGAGTCGCTTCTCGGGGGTTCATTGGTGGTCTTCCTCACTCCCTCTAGCAGCCATTACAGCTGCACACGCTACGCTCGCTCAGTCAAATCGACGAGGTTGTGTCAAACACTGGACGTCAGAGCGTGCAGCTGCTGCGGTGCGAGGTACCGTACAACTCACCGCGTGAGCAGCTTAAACAGCTTCCGGTCCCTTTCAAAGTAAAACACATTCGCAGTTCTATGTTTAATTTTAAACTCACGTTGCGCAGGCTGTGGGGCATTCAAATTTATGTATTTTTAAATATGTAGTCATCACTTATTTTAATCAAAAGATGTTTTTCTTAATTGCAATTCAACAACTCAGTGATATGGTTGTGCGAAAGTTTTTTTTTCTGCAGCTTGACGTTTTGGTCAGTGTAGTTAGCTTTATTTAGCATCTTCCTCCCAACAGCCTCCTCCCCAGACCTAACTGTCACTCACAGATAGAATACAACTGCTGCACAACATCCAAAACGATGGATGCTCTTTATTTTTAATTGCAAACTTTTGTTATGATGCATAATCTTGGCAACAAGGTATTTTTTTTTAATTTTTATTTATTTACACCTGGGAGTTATTGATTAGAATGTCACAGGCTAAAACAAGCAAGCAAACAAACAAAAAACTAAACTCTGACCACAAATCCCAGAGAAGTTCAAACAAAGGATGCATGATAAAGAGCAGAGAGTGAAATGAAACCATCTCTTCAATGTATCATAGTGGTAAATGTACATAAAGATCATATTCCAGACTCCAACATGTCCCTGCACAGCTTCATAACAAAACTACCAGGCAAGAATTTAAAGAGGAACATAAAAAGCAAATGATGTGGATTTGCAGAGCTAGAAAACAACTGATGCTGTCATCCAGGATGTTACTGTGGATCGTCATCTCTGCTGCTCTAACACTGAGACGTTAGCATGTCATGTGTTGTGGAAAATATAATTTCATTCTAGTATATTATGGTGATGCCATGTGAATGTTTTTGTATGTTTACAAACAATTGCAGAGAAAACTAGACTGACCCAAAGAACTCAAGGTTTTAACCTTCATCGGAAAAAAAATCCTGATAATTTCACGATCTCTTCAGAATTGATGTTTTTTTTATATGTCGAATTGAGATCTCAAAGGGCCCATTCACACAGTGGTGACGGGTAGCTACTGGGCCAGAGCCACAGCTGTCCTATCAACATGTTTCTCTCTTGACAGGGCCACAGTGGTACAGACTTATGACATCACTACTTCTTCTATAGCGTTTCCTGGCAGTTTACAAACTTTGTGTATTACCGCCATCAACTGGATGGAGATGTAATTCAGAAATTCTTTTTTCCTGTATATCTTCAATTCTTAAAATAACTAAATTATATACATACTTATACATTCACACACATACATATTAAATCCTCTCAGCTAATTTTGTATTTTTTAAATGTAAATATTAGGCTATATTTTTTATGTAAATGCCTTCCTCTGTCTTCTAAAGTCCATCTCTCCTGCCATTTATTGTTTATTTTATCTTTAATAATTACTTTTATTTCTGCTATACTTAGTGGGACATCATATTCAATTTCTTTTGTCTTTACTGCTTCTTTAGCCAACCATATAGCAAATAACTAAATTAATCTAAAATATCTTGACAGATTTCAGATTTTCCACTTATAATGCTGGTTAAGCAAGACATTGAATCTGAGCAGATAACTGCATTACTAGGCATCACCTCCAACACCGATTGCAACGCCAAAATAATTGCCAACAACAGGGGGTTATCATTAATTACTTGCCATTGACTAATTCCTGCTATCTGATCTGACACTACAGTAAGATCAATTGCAGATTGCGCTCCATGTCTTACATCAAATCTAGTACCTCTTCCATCATTTAGACAAGTTAACTTATAATCATCCATAAACTCCTCAATTATGTTCCAATTTTCATCAGTTCTTTTACTTCCCCATTTTTGAAGAGACTAAATAATTAAAAATCCATTGATCATCAATGACTAAAATGAGTTCAAAATCTCAATTCTGAATATATAAGGAATGGCTAGTAAATCTGACTGGCTCTTTAAAGCTGTACTGACTGACAGGTGATTGGTGTTAACTCAGCTCAGCTGCTGAAGAAACCCAGAAAGCATTAAAATCTCCACATAAAATATTTCTTTCATTCTCCTTCACATAAATACTATCAAGTCTTTCTCTACTTATTTTTTTTTACAGGGTTATAAAAAATTATTGTATTAAACTTTGATTTACTGATCCACACCTCAACCCCTATAACTTCTATTTCTTCATTTATATTCAAAACCTTATAATTAATACCCTGCAGAACAAATATAGCAACACCTCCTCCAACATTTGGACTTCTATCTTTACGTATTATCCATTAAGAATAAAATCAAGTGATGGTTTTAAGCAGGTTTCTTGAATACAGACTATATGTGGTTTAACATTCTGTCTTTCAATGAAATATTTAAACTCTTGGCCATTAGGAATTAAGCTTCTTGCATTTCACTGTAATATGGATAGAACCATCAAATTTCACCATTACCGGACTGTTGACTTTCATTCATTCCAGTTGTCAAAAGTGCACTGATTGACTCAAAAGACAAGTCTTCCATCTCAAGATATTATTCTGCTGCTTTAATTATCATTTTAATTCGCTCTGTTCTGCTATCTGTCTGTGCTGAACAATTTATCACTTCCACAATAAATGCAACAAATTTCTTGTTCTCCACAATCATTGTACTTCCTAAGGTTCTCTGGCTCTGCATTTACTCTGTGGTTTGAGATGGAGTTTGGGGCACAGAAATACTTTTAGCATGAACATTTAAATTACTTACCTTCTTGACTGCATTTGCATTGGTAACTTTTTCCTTTACGTGTATATTTTGTACCTGCACTGCTCTTTTATGTGCTTCACATCCTTTAAATGCAGCACTATGTTCCCCACCACAATTACAACACTTTAACTTTATTCCTCCAGAACATTTTCCATACTCATGCTCCCCTCCACACTTGGGACACCTGGCTTTAGCTCTGCAAGTAGAAATATGTTCAAACTTTTGACATTTGTAGCATCTGGTTGGTGGAGGAATGTATTGCCTTATTGTATAACTGACATACCCAATCATCACCTTTTCTGGTAATCTCGCCTCTTCTAGGACCAACACAACTGACTTACTAGGACTTTTAACCCCTCTTGTAACAAACAAACGCTTTAGTTTACTCACCCTTTATACCTTTACCTTTAATCTCTTCCTCCATCAGATCAGTTGATACTCCAGCTATTACTCCCATTACTTTTTCTCTGTCCTGCCATGGCTTGATTGTTTTTCCTAATAATGTCTTGAATCTCATTACCTGGTCTCTATCTCTGCACAACACCAATAGATTACCATCTCTTAACATTTTGACTGCTTTCACCTGACCTACTATTTTATATATTGCCTCACTTATTTTTGAAGGATTCAAAGCATATGGGTTCTGGAATCTAAGAATCACTTTAATGTCATTTCTTTTATTTTCCTCTCGTTTTCCTTTATCAGTTTCAAAACCTTTCCTTTTCTTATTTCCTTGGTTCACTGTTTGCCAGTCTCCTGTTTTTCCTCTTCTTTTACAATAATTACTATTCATACTACAATTATCTGAGTCATCTAATTCTTCGCCTTCATCCATCGCTCTTCCTTGTTTAAAGTAATCTACAAATTAACTCCAAATTCCACCGCCGTCACTTTAACTTTAACCAACAAAACGCTTCTGCTCCTCACTCCAGCCTCCGACTCAGGACACTCCAACACGGCAACAATTCCCTGTCCCATGACATCACTAGTGATAACTTGGGCTGTCTTAAAGAGACACCACAATTATGATTGTTACAGGCACTTCTGACCAGGTGAAAGACATAAACAACAAGGGTGAGTGGAGCGAGAATCAAACCGGCAATCCACCGATTGCAAGACAAACCACTATTGCTCAAGTCGCTGTGTTGTTGCCCCGACAACACAGTGACATTGACAAGATCATAATACAGCAACAGTCTTCAGTCAGAGGCCCCTTCAGATTTGTTGCAAGACTGACCGCTACAGGAAATCCTTCCTGTCTAACATTTAATTTCTCTTTGAGATACATAACGCACTTTTGAACTGACTTGAAATTCAAAAGCCAGAATTTGAGTCCAAAAACAGTTACAATAAAGCGAACGCTTTATTGCATTAAAAATAATGCAATAAAGAATGATTTTGCTTTATAATTGCTTTACTGCATTATTGCTCAACTGATTAGTTGTGCTAGCATATCTAATCCTATTAGTTATTAATTTAAACATAACTAACTTATTAGTTAGTTATGCTTATAACTGCTAATCAGTTATGATTAATAAAGGAATAAAACAGATAAAGGATGTTTTGCTGAACTTCTAACTTTTAAAACATTTTTACTTTCTCACAGGTTCTTGGAACTTTGGATGTCAGTAAATCATTGTAAAGAAAGAAAAATGTAAGCAGACAAAATTTTACCTTCTTTCCTTTATTAAGAGGTATCAACTGCATCACTGTGGAGCCCTTGACTAATCCCACTTGGAGTTTAAAAAACAGCAAATGCCATATTAAATGCATATAAAGGGCCATAAAACCTAATAGTAAATTTTTAAATATGGCCAATTTGATATTTTTGGCTTTCCAGGAGCCTGATTTTGACGTTTTCGAAATGAAGTGGGAGTTTCTGTATATCACTTGAAGTTGTATTCCAGGTGTCAGAGGTATCATAAGAGAAAGTTTTACCATTAGCAGTTTTCTTCCTAAATGGCGAAAGCCTGTCATTGTTAGTAGTTTCTTATTCCTTTGGATGACTTGTGGAACATAACCATGGCATATTTTATAAAAATAGCAAAGGTTATAGTTTACAGTATTGTCCCAACTTAGTCATTTGTGTGATGGGTTTGGTAGTGTTCAATTTGAATTTCACGTCATGGGTCCAAAGGCTGACCAGTGATGAGTCTAGAACCTCCCTTCAGGACATCCAGACTAATCACACAGTAACAGGAGCATCTGCTCTTACTGTGGATCACTTCTGCCCTCTGGTGGCCGCTTTACACTCACCTGCTCCTTAAAAGTTAGCATTCTGTGACACTGGTTCCAATGATTTTAAATGATTCTAATGATTAGTAAAGCAACAACAACAACAACAACAACGACAATAATAATAATAATAATAATAATAATAATAATAATAATAATAATAATAATAATAATAATAATAATAATAATAACAATAATAATTATTATTATTATTATAATAACATTTTCCTGCTGGATTAAGCAAATGTGTTCAGTTTGTACTTGGAAGTCTTATGGTCTAACTTTGAAAATATGTCTGGAATATCCCCTAATGTGATGACTGCTGTATAGAAAAAAAAAAAATTCTTACACACACAAGATTGAACAATTTTTATATGGGAACATTTTTTCTCAGTGCTTGAATGGATAATTCATAAAGAGGATCAGTCTACTGATGGTGTCATTAAGGTCCAGAAACATGCAGTTTCTGGGGTTCTGAGCAGCTTTTTGTTTCCCCAGTCAAGGTTTCTACAGCAGCACATATGCAAAATGTATACAGAATGGGTGAGGGGCTAATTTCCTTATTTACTGTTTCTGTGTGGTCAAGTACAATGACATGTTCAAATTAATACATTTATAATTGTCGTTCTTTCATAATAGAGCAAAATTAGTCCAGGTTGGACTCTGTTTCCCGATTGATTTGATTCCAGTTTGAATTAAAATCACCAATTTACTTACTATGTTAAGTAATTAATAACCTATGTTTGCCTTCTATAAAAGGAATATTATTTGGAATTTGTTGTAAGGAGAAAACGTAAACAATCAAAAGTATGGGGTAAGTTGGAGGGGAAAGAGAAGAAGAGAAGAATTAGGGAAAAGACGGAAGGAGACACAATGCAGCATCAATCACGTCTTTAAATGATAAATTACCTCGTATGGCATTTTTGAAGAGACTAAATAATTAAAAATCCATTGATCATCAATGACTAAAATGAGTTCAAAATCTCAATTCTGAATATATAAGGAATGGCTAGTAAATCTGACTGGCTCTTTAAAGCTGTACTGACTGACAGGTGATTGGTGTTAACTCAGCTCAGCTGCTGAAGAAACCCAGAAAGCTCTTCTGTTTAGCGTTGAAGCTTTGCTGATGAAATCCCACTGCTGCCTGTCTGCATCATCTTGATGACTTTGTTTGACCTCGAGCATGTGGAATCAAGGTGAGTGGCACGTGTCTGAAGTCATCTGTTGAACATCCCTCACATAAGTTGAAACTTGGTCGCTCTGACACAGGCTGCAGTCAGTCCAGTGGTGAAACCTTGAGCCACAAAACTACATCATCAAAGGTGCACGTCTGTTGGCTTAAGTAGAAAGAGCTTTAATGGCCAAGAGAAGCAGATTATTTGTTGGGTTCATAATCTGCTCTCTCACTGTCTCTGCCACAGAAAGCACAGCTTGAGATTTTCCCCTGCACCGTTTCTCAGCTGCTGGCTGCTCAACTCTGCAATGACTGCTTCACTATCTGTGACTCTGAGCTCAAACAGGTGAGCCGGTTATTTTCAGAGGTCAGGGTTTAGAGAGAAACTGTTCAACACATACTGTGGACAGTGGGCTTCAGACAGTTACTAACCAAAGGATTTAGCCACCTATTAAAATCTATCTTTGCAAAGGTGCACTGTGGATAATGTCTGCAGTCCATTACAGAGGAGTTGAACAGCTACTTGTAAATGTTCACCCTTTTTTCTCTTTTTTTAAAACAGTTTTTCACTTTGAAGCTCAATTCAGTTTTATTATATTTGTTTTATAGTACCAATTCACACCAAATATTGTCTAGAAGTACCTTACAAAAAAAGTGTCTGTCTCATCATACATACATTCTCATTACTGAACTATTGATCAAACAGTACAGTAAGCTCAATTAATTATTCAATATAGTTTAAAAAGTTTCTGCAGAAATTTCAGCAGATTACTTCCGCCTACAAACGGTCTTGGTTCAGGTGGAGTGAACTTGGGTGTGGTACCAATGGTCTGAGTTGAATGCCAAGCGGCGAGCAGACCGCCCCTAACAGGTTCCAGGAGCCGGTCTGGAGTGCAGGGCATTCTGGGTAAATATAACCAAAACAAACGGTCTGTCTAAAGCTGGCGGGAGAAATGGTTTATGGTCTTTTGCCAAAGGGAAATCATACAGCCACACAAAATTTTACTCCACTCTGTTTTTTCTGTGCTCCACCAGGTCCATTAACCAGTTTCAGGACCCAACCAGAACCCCTCAGTGTAAATTTCTTTGAGAAATAATGAGATTAAAGAAGCTTTAATGCCAAAATATGATCAAATGTTACAAGCCATACATGTCATACAAATGGAGCAGATACAGAATTACATTCACCATCCAGCGCTGGGCCACACTGAGCTCACCTTATTGATGAAACCAAGTGAGGCAAAGACTCTAGTGTGAATTTAGCTTTTTATTCTCTGCAATTTGTACCCTCCCTAAAAGGTAGTCTAATCAGTTTAAATCTGTTTACATATGACTGGAGGCAGTCATACATAAACATGGTAATGTAAACTGTAAACAGATAGGAGAGGTTAAAAGTGATGGAGGAAATGACAGAATCCATAACAACTCCATGTTTTAGTCCACATTTTGAGAAGTGGAAATGTTTCGCTCCGTGTCTTCTTCAGAGTTTTTTGTGTCGCCTCCTTCAGGGGTTCTAGTTGTAGAGCCACCACATGTTTTCCAAAGGGTTTGGTTCGTTTGACACAGTGCAGCGTGAAAGCGAACTACACCAGCTGGAAATTTAGCAAATGCTGCAATTTTACTACTCAATTTAACCGAGACTATCAGCTGTGAACACGCCCATAAATGAATAAGAAGATTTGTATTACAGACCATCACACATAATCTGAGGGAAAGCAAATCTAATTAGTTTCCCTCAAAACAGTATTGTCCCAGTGTCTTTTGTAGGTTACAGACAGCTTTCCATATTTGGTGTTGTTTAACCATCACTTATGTATGTTGTCTTCAAGCAGTGATTTTACTACCGCATTTTTATGGTCATTTTTATGGCGGTCTGACTATCCATGACCACATTTGGCATTCATCCCTTTCTTTCTGGGTCACTCCAAGCATAAAGGCTCTAATCTTAAACATGTTCCTTAGATTTTGAATATGAGACTCAATGTGTTCTTAGATATCACAAGGGCAAATTTCAATGTTAAGCTTTTCATTTGTTCTCAACAACATCCTGACATCTTAAGAAACATTTCTATAATTTTTTGTCGCTTTTCATCACAGCTTTGGTACATTTCCAATAATTCTTAGGCTAAGTAGTACTGAAGTACTACTTAGCCTAAGCCAAGTACTGTCTCCTATCTCAGGTTTCTGTTGTTGGAGTCATCAGAGGATTTGCTCCATTTGTGACCAACGTCCAGTACGCTGTGGATGACATGACCGGTCCACCTCTGAATGTGAAGCTGTGGGTTAACATGGAGGTCAGTGGCGTTAAAGAACATTTGGGGAAAAGTAAAATGGACATGGCAATAAAAGATTGTTGATGAAAGATTGGATCTAAACTCCAATCTTTACAGGATTTTGCACTGACGACTGTAGCTTCTCCAGGAATGTATGTGAAGGTGATTGGAAGCCTGCGCATCGACAGTGTGAGCAAACGTTCCAGAGAAACAGGCTGTAAGCACACGGAAAATAAATGCCACACTGCCATTTCTTCTTCTGATTCTATAGGGACAGAGGTCCTTACTGGCAATGATTGTCCGACGTATAAAGGACCTGAATGAGATCAGCTCCCACATGTTGGAGGTGGTACAAGCCCATATGCAGATTTTCAGAAAGGTATACTCTTGTGCATTTCTGCTTCTTTGGGAACATCCACTTTGGTACAAAGGAACCTAAATTTCATAATTAAATAAATGTGCAACTTCTTTGGAGTGTAAGGGTTATTGAGACTCCCCAAAGTGATTTGGACATACTTTAGCGTAGATGTTAGAAAAATTGTAATCATGTACAGCAGCTGGGGAAATAAGGAGCTTTGATGAATGCCCCTTGGTGAAGGACATAGCAGTTTAATTTCACTGGAAAAATAACATTGGATGTCTTGGTAAAGTTTAAAGAGGATGGAAATAAAAATGTCAGCCAAAAACCACCTCTCCATGTCCTGAATGTGAACCAGGTCGTACTGCACTGCAGCACAGCTATCTACTGCAGGAAGTCTGAAAATGTGGAATTTAATACTTTTTTTCTGTTGTTGCTCTGTGCACATTGATTTTGATTTGATTTCAAACACCTGGACATTGTTGGAGATACTGTTGCGCTTGTCAATGCAATCAGAGATATCTTTGACAGTGTGTCCAAACATGCTTGTTTGCCACCTAAAGACTGTTAAAAGCCATTTCATTCAATTTAGTCTGAACATACAAGTCATACAAGCTGGCCTCACAAACCCCCTTAAGAAGTTCTTTGTTTGGTGAAACTGACACTCAGATGTCTGCTGTTGATGGCATATATCATGGTTTCACTTGAACCAGGCCAATACCTGTAATCTCTGTGCTTCCATTAGGTCTTTGATGTGAACATGAACCTCGCTGTGGAGCCGCAACCTGAATGGAGCAGTGAAATGCGTCCTCAAGGCGTTTTACCAAATGGTTTGTCTGCAGTCCAGGGCCAGGTCAGTGACTGCAAAGAGCAAGTTCATCCTGATCAGTTTCTGTTTATGATGTACTGTGTGTTACATTTTGACATTAAGATTTTTTTTTTTACATTGAGTAGTTGACACACTGAGTCAGGTCAAATGTACTTTTATTAAGCTGTTTAAAAATATAAGTTTATGGGTGCATTCACAGCAATCCTGTTTAGTCCATTTAATCAAACTCAAGATCTTTTGCTTAGAAAGTCTGATTTATTTGTGAATAAGTAACTAAAAAATGGTGACTGCCTTGGTGTCTGGCAACTGAGCTACCGGCGCTTCCACGCAGGTGGTAATTTGTGCATTTAGCTGGGAGACATTAAATCGGCCACGCTTTGTTGTCTTGGCTAATGATCCAGCTAGTTGCATTGATTCTGGATGTCAGTGACCATCTTCTACACTGAAAAAAAGTGAACATATCATTTAAGTTTTGTCAGCTCTTTTTCTCTCTCTCTCTCTCTCTCTCTCTCTCTCTCTCTGTCTCTCTCTCTCAGGTGTTGCATCAAATCCAAGTGTTCTCTGTTCATGATGATGGCATCAGTGTCTGTGACCTGAAACGAAACCTGGACTACATTAGCATGCAAGACATTAGGTAACTGCAAAGTACACTCCCAACCCCTTTTCTCTAAAACATTGTTTTACTAACATCATCATTAGTGTAACCTCACAATAATGGCCATTTTAGACATTCAATGTTCCAAATGACTAAAATTGTAGGAAATTATTGTATCTCGCCTTAAATAAATGGATAGTTTGGAAAAACCTGGACACCACAGCAGAGTTTGATGTGGGAAGATACTCTGCCAGCACGTAAATGGCAAGAGATTGCCATGAATTTTTATTTTTTTTATTTTTTTTACTGGAATGGCAAAAGTCTTTCATGTGGCTGCAGGCAAATTTTATCTGCAACAAATCTGCAGCCAAATTCTTGGTAACACCATCTCTGATATTCCAGTCACTTTCTGGAGCAAATAACCAATTAGACCAGACTTCTTCTCTTGTGAGAGACAGGAGCGAAGCAGAGACAGGGACCTCATCAAAGGCTGCAAAGTCAGGGCATTTTTGTGTGATTTCTTGGGATTTGTAAATCAGATGTGATTATGAAACGGCGAGTGTGTTTCTTTCTTTTTACATGCTAACAGCTGTGCAGACAGTTACTCTAATTACAATATTTTTGGTCTTAACACTGAAATTGCTAAATTTGCAAAATTCAGAAATATGAGTCCAAACTGGGGGTTTTACCTGAAGCTGATCATTTTGTTTCAGATCTTCCTTGGCTTTCCTTGCAAGTGAAGGTCACATCTTTTCCACCATTAATGAGCATCATTTCAAGGCAGCATAACTTCAATTGTCTCTGGGGGAAAAAAAACAACAAAAAAAAAACATAAAAACTAGTCCTGGACCACTTGTGGGACTAAGCTTTATTTATTTATTTTGTTAAAGTGAATTACAGTAATTTTTCTTGTAAATGACTTCTAGATTGAAGTTTTTTGTTTTTTTCTTCTTCTTGTATTATGTATGCACCATTGCCATCTGAACTCACCTTATTTTCTTCTTATTTTGACTAATCAATTATTTAACATCAAGTCAAATGGAGAGCATCTTGTTAGAGCTGTCGGGATCAACGTATCCTCCAACTTGTTTGGCCACAAATGTGTCGACACTGCAGACTCCTATTGAATGAACTGCATTCTGAAATGTCAACTCTGTTGATTGAGCAACTTAATAAAAGAGCAATCAGGATCGACCTGCTTTAATATTTTCTTTCTTTCCCATTTAACCATGAGTCTTTACCTGAGCCACCCCTTTGTTTCTTGACCATCTTCTACTTTGTTGGAACTATTTTTGCTCCATTGTGGAATTGTCTGATAAAATTGGAGGAAATTGTCTCCACTGTGGAGTGGAACAGTGACTCTACCTGTAATAGACAGTGACAGGGCTGTGAACTGCAGGTGAAGACTGACTTCAAAAGAACTAACAAAGAAATAGAGAATCATGCCAGTGGAATCAATGTCTCTTTTTACTATTTTCTATTTTTAAACCCGTTCTTCTCTCACAGCCGCCACCATCATCAAATATCCAAGAAACGCAGAGTGACGAGACCAAAATGGATATGACTGTTATTAGGATTCATCTGTGCTTGATATTTGTCTATTAAGGTATAATCTATAGCTCTCTGGCTGTGTGTGAAACGAGGAGGAGGAGGAGGAGGTTTAGTCGGTCCCTGGAGAAATCTCCTGCTGAGTTTACCTTCCTTTTATGTTTCCACTCTAGTCTGAATGCTGACAATGCTGCTGTCTATGCCACGAAAAGCTCTTAAGAGTGTTAATTAATAAACTTTACATCATTTCTAAGCAAACTGGTTGTGATAGCAAATGCTAAATGTGTTTTTTTCTCCCCCATGGTGATGAAACTGTCCTGTGAAGATTTGCTTCCTGTCCAAATCTTCCAAACCAGTGACAACTCCAGTGTTTGAAAGATCTCAGATATTAGTGGGGGTGCATGCATATATTTGTGTGTATGTGTATGGGTCAATAATGTCAATACATTTAAACTGGTGGACCAAAATTATGTTTCTGAGATTAATACATCATCATTACAACCTGGGAAAAAATGCAATTTAAATGTATCATTAAAAGTCCACGATTAATAATAGATTTTATTTATATCTTTAGATCTCAACGACCAAGAAACAGAAATGAAACAAGCAACTGTAGTGGTTAAAAATAAACAAATATATACATATATAAAAGAGATTAAAACCAATATCTAAGAAAATGTACCAAAAATGTTGGTAAAAAATGCCAGCAGAGAAGACCCTTCAGTTTGGAGAAGGTTTGAGTGAAAGAGTTATGCTTTGTGGGTTCAGCTGTTCTTTGAAAAAGTTTGGGACATTTCTGTAGATGTATTGAGGAGGTAAATCTTGATTTCAGTGGAAATGGGGAGAGAGTGGAGGACGGAAGTGATGTGGTCATGTTTGCTCACTCTGATCAGAATCTGAGCTGCAGAGTTTTGGAGCCTCTGCAGGCTCTTGCTGTGAGAAGTGTGTTGCAGTGGTCCAGTCTGGAGGAGTCAGACTGAAGCAGTTTTGCTCCATGGCCATGATGGGTGGTGTACTTGCAGCACATGGAGCACAGTTTGTATTACTGCCTGATGAGGCTGCATCTCAAACCCATTGCATGTGTTGCAAGTATTGTTGTTTATCCACCAGGGGGCAACATGTGAACTGGAATCCATAAACTTCCCTTCCATGACTCCCTCAACACACGCGCACACGCATACACACATACCACATCCTTTCTTTCAACTTGTGTTAATCTGTTTTTAACTGTAGGAATATGTCACTACGAGTCTGTTTGCAGTGAAACCAAGCTTCTTATCTGTTTGGAAATCATTGATTCCTCTGGTTCCAAGTCAACTATGGAGGCTGGGATTTTTTCCATTCATGTTGTGTGTGCGTGTATGTGTGGTGCGTGAGTATGTGTGTGTAGGTGAGTGCATTCGTGCACGTGTAATGAAGGAAACATTACACGTGCTCTACCTTTAGGGGTCTCTCGAGCTCTTTGCAGACCCTGCTGTGTAGCCAGTACTATTAAATGGCACCTCGTTAATCAAATCTGCATGAGTGCGCTCAGGTTGCCATGGCAATAATTATCAGAGCTGCCTAATTAACTTTCTCAATTGCTTAATGATATACGACCCTCTGAACTCCATCGTTTTCCCCCCCTCTAATCCAAGTTGTTGTGTTTTTATTCTCCCAGTTTCTCTCCGCGGCGTTAACCCGTTATAACCCGTTAACCCGTGACCACCGACATAATGGAAGCAACTCTGAAATTAAATTCAGCACCACATCATTTCCTGTCGGCCCACGCCTGTTCTCCTCGCCTTCCCAGAGCTGGAACCGAACTGAACCGAAGAGCTGCTGTGAAAGCCAAACTCTGCGTGTCTCGGCGTGTCTGGGCCTGTTCGGCATCATGCGTGACTCGCACGCGCCGCCTTTCGCCCCGACCTCGCGTGACGGCTGACTGAAGGCTGGGAGCAGCGTCCCTGTCGTCTCTGATCAGCCAGGCGAGACTATCCGAGACGCGGCGGGGACAGGGGAGGGGTACCTGGTGACACCCACCCTGCCGTCTTCTGTCACAGCTGGCTCCAGTGAGCAGCCTCCTGTCAGCGGGCTGCGCCTCCGCCATGTCGTGTCCGCACCGGGCCCCGTTTGTCTCCGTTCACTTGTCACACTTTGTAGCTGAGATAGAGAGAGGACCGGCGTTCAGATTTGGCCCAAAATATTCATATGTTCTCGGCGTTCACAAGAGCTAAGACGATACAGTTTGGTTATTGTTTTTCTCTTTATGTCTGACATGTTTTTAGGGGAATATGTGGTCATAATGCAGGAGCTCTCAGTGCAATTTGCCAACATAGCTTCTTGCTTCTGCAGTTAGTTAATGTGAAGCCACCACTTGTTGATAGTATTTATTCAAACGGCATACAGCACACTTATTTCAGATAAACAGTTGAAACCAGAATCTTACACATACTTAATAAAAGACATACACTTTTTTTTCTCTCTCTGAAGTTGAATAAGACCAAACTGTCTCAGCTAGGATTATCACAGTTATTTCTTTTAGCTTAAGGTCACAATAATAATAGAAATATTTATTAAATTCTTTGACATCATAAGCTTCCATGCACTTTCTCAGTATTTACTAGCATTACATGTGAACGGTTTGACTTGGGCTCCTCATCATACTTTGTTCTGGTCCATTCCTCCATTCCTGGACTTTATCAAATCTAGAGCAAACTAAATGCTCTAGTTAGAAAGCAAATGGCAAACTAACATTGCTCGTGTTCTCACTAAAACCAGGAAGATAGAGTACGTAACACCAGTTTTAAAGTCCCTCCACTGGCTCCCTCAAAGAATAGATTTTAAAATACTGTTGTTAGTTTACGAATCACTGAACAGTTTAGCACCACAATACATCAAAGATCATGTATCAACCTTCCCGATCTCTCAGGTCTACTGGTTCTGGTCTGCTCTACATCCCCAGAACCAGAACCAAGAGAGGAGAAGCAGCTTTCAGCATCTATGCACCAAAAATTTGGAACAAACTTCCAGAAAACTGTAAAACAGCAGAAACCCTGAGATTTAGTTTAAATCTCAACTAAAAACACACCTGTTTAGAATTGTATTTGAAATGTAATATGTAACAATGTATTGTTTATTCCATGATGCATGACTTTGTTTTTGCGTTTATGATGTAAAGCACTTTGAAATGCCTTGCTGCTGAAATGTGCTATACAAATAAAATTTGATTGATTGATTGATTTAGTTCTGAAGCGAAATATTTATTTTACAAACTAAATATTTAGCTTTATAACATAATATTTGACTTTACATAGAAAAGCTAACTAAATATTTGACTTTCTAACAAAGTATTTTATTTGCAAACGAAATGCTTACCTTTCTAATTCAACATGTAGCTTTTTAACTAGATATTCAGCTTGTGAACTAAATATTTAGGTTGGAACTGACATTTATAAATGCATCAATAACATGGTGAAAAAATAACTTTGGAAAATGAATGCCTATAATTTTTTGACAGTCTAAATAAACCAAAAATATTACAGTTACATTTTTTACTGCTTAACTTTACAGATGGCGACCCAAATCTGGCATTGTGTTTCCAGAATTTCTCTTTTATAGGATTTCTTACAAGAAAGAACTTTTTTTATTTCAATTCATGGTGTAAACTTATGGAACAAGTTAAATGAGGAGTTAAAAACAAAGTCAAAATTTAATACAATTCAAAAGGAAATATAAGGAGGTCATTTTCAAAAGATATAGTAAAATGGGTGAGATGTTTATGTAAAATGAGGTCGTCGCATGTGAGTGTGTGTGGGTGTTGATGTATGAATGTGTTTGGAGAGTCCATGGCAAAAAAAAGAAAGAAAAAGGAAAATGAATTAACCTATGTCAAGATTTTCCTTTTTGTTTTTTCTTAATTTAATCATAATTCAAGCACCATCTGAAAACATGGCTTTTCAGATGGCTTGGGTTTATGGGGATGGAGTTCATAAGTTTTACTTCTTCCTACTCCTTATCGAGCATGTTAAGATTATTGTGTTACAAAAATATGTGTCTCTTGCATTCCTTGTTCATGCCTGCTATTTTATACTGCTATCATGTTCTAAAAAAACAAAAACAAATAGGTGGATTATTTCAGCCTCATCCTCTAGCCATGGCTTCAGACCTGTAGTAAATTCCAGGCGGTCGGTTTTGTTTGTCTCGTTGAGCACTCTGCACGACTGAGACGCTTCCCTCTCTGGGATCAGTGCCGGGTCAGCAGACCACAAGGCCTGGAAGAGTTTGTGGGATCAACTCTCTGCAACCACCATCAGGAAGTTTTAAAGGACTGGGTCAAATCAAGTGCTGGCAAGAAACGTTCCATTAGTTACAGCCAATGTCTGCCATATGTCTGGAACCGCCTGCTGAAACCATGCGATGCAATTCCTCCCTTGCTTTTTTATATCCCTCCTAACGTAATCTCTCACGAAAAGCTGTACCTCTCCATATACAGCTCTTTTCCAGAGAGAAGTTCCGCCCTTGTTTTAATTGTAAGAGCTTTTGTTGCTTTGAAGGCAGCGAAGAAAAGTGTCAG